GATTTTTATATAGCTTTTATAGCGTTACACTTAAGTAGACTGCATATAGACTAATACTTAATAGGACAAAGATACTTTGGTTTTTATATAAGCATTTCTGCTAATCAGCGTATTTAGCCACAGCGTCGGCTTCGCTGGAGTAAGTTTAAACTTAGGACTATAAACACCATTAACACGAGCTTAGTATACAGAATGTTCGACTTATTTTATTTTGCGTTTATCCAATAATGAGTCACTTATTATAATTTTCTTCAGGTAATTTTGATAGCAAAAGGTGGTGCATCTTATGTTCTTTGTGTTTTCCGAAAAGCAAGTGAAAGCTCCCAGAACGAAGAAAGATATAAGGAATTTTCGAAACGCTTGCATCTGTAAAATTTTTTGTAAAATGACGATTATCTGGAAAACGGTTAGATTTAGTTACAAGGAAGCATTAACATTTTTGACTTATTTTTAATTTATCTTGTCGATAATGCAATAATATATAGGGTGTTCCATTTAGAATAACAAAGTAGACAGCAACTTCCGATATAACCGGAAGTGCTACGTTGATGGCATTATTTTCATTGAAGAGAACATATCTGATAACCCACGTAAACAATTCAGAGTCATATAGTCTTTGGTTCCGCTGAAACGTCTAATAGGCCACTTACCGTGAAGAACCCTGTATAACTTTGGTCCTTTGCAAGTTTGTGAAATTCCTAATATTTTTCAAGTTATTCACGAAATAAGCTTTTTGTAGTTCTCCGGACATTCCCCGAATATTCCGGCTTGCTCCCGTAAGTAGATAAAAATAGACACATACTTACAAACCAACAGTCCATACTCAAATTGAACCATTGCGAGACCATTTATAGACTTTCTTTTTCGTTATTTAAAGTAACCTGTCGCGTGTGAAATTAAGAAGTGAGTATAAACCATATTTTTAAGTGAAACTGTTATTATTTGTACCGTTAATTTTTCGTTAATTATAATGTAAACCTGTACCAATTTCAATAAACGATTATGCAAAAAATAAATGAAAAACTAGAATAGGCCAGGAAATGACCATTTCGCGACTTTTTGTTTTGGCAATTTATTGGCATTTGGCAATTTTGGTGAATTTATCACTATAGATGCTAAATATTATGTACAATAACATATTAGTTTCCACAGTCATAAAAATAGGAGGAAGATTGTTTACAGGGTGGTTAATTGTATAATTTTTACGTAAATTCACGTTTTTCTGTTCATTTCCACGAGAAGACAGTATCGTACTTTTTTTTTCGTCTTCAAAAGACCTACAAAATTAACCCTCGAGCCTCAAAAAATATTAATTAGATCAAAAGTTATAAACAGAAGAAGTTTATTTATGACTTTTGAATTAAATATTTATAAACTGCGTTATTGTTACCAGAACGTTTTGGCATCGCATCCTCTCATTCCTTATCCATGTCTAATAACTCGCACGAAATCTGGAATCGGTAAGTTGAATAGTTTGCAAGTTATGGCCTTATAAACAAATTAATTAATTATTAATCTGGACGATACCGAGGATCTTCGACAATCGCACTGTTAAAATTAAAATTTTCGTTGCAAAAGGAAATATACCACGCACGAGCGTGATATGTTTATATATTATTACATATTCGGAAAGCTTATGAAAAGAGCTTTAAGTTAAAAAAAAAATCATCAAGATTCGTTGAAAAACAACGGAGTTACAGACTGTCAAATTTGACGGTCTATTGTTAAACAAATTAGATTGGTAGCGGCAAGAAAAAAATACTGTCATAACCGGTAACCCGAGTACTTTCCCAGGTAAAAATATTTTGTTTGTGGAAGTATGTTAAGTGCATAAGAAATGTTGTCAAAAGTCAGTGGGTCGCTAGATTTTCGGCAAGACGTGGCGCGGCGGAAGGGTGGGGGAAGCGAACGACAGCGAGTCCGAAAAAAATGACGATAATATTTATAGTCCTGCCGTTAAATAAGCAAAATTCGCTAGAAAATAATATATATGCCAGTCTGCAACTCCGTTGTTTTTCAACGAATCTTGGCGTTTTTTTTTTAACTTAAAGCTCTTTTCATGAGCTTTCCAAATATATAATAATATATAATTATATCACGCTCGTGCGTCGTATCTTTCATTTTGCAAGTAAGGCTAAAAAATAAAAAAAAATTCAGTTTACAAATTTGAAATTAAATAAAAATATATAGATTTCAATGTATTATTATGAAATCTACCATGAAAAAAATCAGTGCGATTGTGGAAGATCCTCGGGATCGTCCAGAATACGAATTAGTTAATTTGCTTATAAGGCCATAACTTGTAAACTATTCAACTTACCGATTCCAGATTTCGTGTGAGTTATTAGACAGTGATAAGGAATGAGAGGATGCGATGCCAAAACGTTCTCGTAATAATAACGCAGTTTATAAATGTTTAATTCAAAAGTAATAAATAAACTTCTTCTGTTTATAACTTTTGATCTAATCAATATTTTTTGAGGCTCGAGGACTAGTTTTGTAGGTCTCTTGAAGACAAAAAAAAAGTAGGATATTGTCTTCTCGTGGAAATGAACGGAAAAAAGTTATAAGCGAAAAAACGTGAATTTATGTAAAAATGTCATGTTTATGTTTGTCAAAAGTCATAAATAAAATTCTTCTGTTTATAACTTTTGATCTAATCATAACTTTTTGACGCTCGAGGGCTAATTTTGTAGGTCTTTTGAAGACGAAAAAAAAGTACTTTACTGTTTTTTCGTGGAAATGAACGGAAAAAAGTTATAAGCGAAAAACGCGAATTTACGTAAAAATTATACAATTAACCACCCTGTAAACAATCTTCCCCCCATTTTTATGACTGTGGAAACTAATAAGTTATTGTACATAATATTAAAGCATCTATAGTGATAAATTCAGCTTGCCGAAACAAAAAGTCGCGTCCAACTCTATATGTCCTGGCCTAAGAAGCAATTTAAAAGAAATTAATAAAAAACATATATACAGAAAAAAATATATATAAAAAAAGAAAAAAATTTTGTTAGGTGCTTTGGACTATTTCTCCGACATACTTACTATGAAAAATGTAAAGAAAAAATTAATGATATATTTAAGAAGAAATTAATTATTTTACTAACTTTCTAGAGCTTACTTTGTATAATTATGCATAACAACGAGACTTGTAAATTTTTAAAAATCTAGTATATTAGAACTAGATATAAACCGTTTTCTCAGTGTACTACTGCTACTGTCAATTATTATCTAAGTACTACCCCATTTCCAATACCATCCTTCACGCAGACCGACACATCGCGCTATTTGTGAACCGCCTTTAAACCCCTGTTAAAAAAATCATTCCCCATTACACCCTGGAGTTAAAACCGAAATACATCACCAAATAACCAGCGCTAAAGCTTATTATGAACTCCAAACAAATCATCCCCCATTCCTCGCCGCATTTGTCAGCATTTGCCCGGCTTTGTGCGCCCCCAAACCGAATTCCTTTGCGATGAAAACTCAAAAGACGGCCACGGCCACCTGAGACCCGAAAATGAAAAATGGAGCGGGTGGTGGGGGCAGGGTAAAGTTTAATTTTAAGAGTAGAAATCGAAACTCCCTTTCGTCTAGCGAAGTACCACAATATTCGTGTAGATGTCGCTGTAGAAAAAATACGTTTGTAGTAAAATTGCACTAGCTACTGCTTTGTTTATGTTTTGAAATGAACACAGTGTATTTCAAGACACGACACAGAGTAATGGTAGAGAGAAAAATTTAAAATGTATAACACCAATTCATAAAATTATAACGTAGACTATAAGGAAGACATAAATTACATTTAAAGTAAAATAAAATCCCATTTCGTATTTATATCATATCAAAATTATAATATTATCAATCAAAATTTAACTAATATATTTTAATAGAGAAGCAAAATCAAATTATTATAGTATCAGAAAAACACATAGGCTAGAAGTTTATTATAAAAATTGTCATTCAGAATTCCACATAGAAATTTCTTGTAAAATAGTATTAAGACGTCAAAAATACTACGCAGTTACAATATACAAATTACGCCGTAATTTATTAAAAATAAAATCACATCGCAATATGTTGGAGAGAAAGTGCGCAGCAAGAAATCAATATCACATGGATACAAGTGACCAATAAAAAAAGGACAAATCAGAAAATTTTACCTACCAAAGGAAACAACACAGCATCGTTTCGAAGTAAACAAGTTGGAAAAGAAACTAGTTGGTCCCAGACACAGGTTAGGGGTGCATGTTATCCTGTAGCTCCCCAAATTACATCGTAGAAAACCAGGACGAAACCAACTCACAAGAACCATCCACAAGAGGCGAGTTCAGCTGTCCACCCACGACTAAACAGCGAGGTTAGAGTGAATATTGGACATTCCAACGTCGAGATAATTAAAACGATAATGTAAGTCCAGTTGCCTAAGCATACTCGTCGAAACATAAATTAGAGTGATTACAAATTCAAATTAAAACATTTTGTGAAGTCAAAAATTTTTTTTAACCATAGACAGTATCAGTGAATAGAAATTCAAATCATATTTTAGAACATTTCGTAGTATAAGAGTTAGTTAAGTTTCGTTGTTCATAATTTAAGTTAATTTGTTTCATTATACATTTAAAACAATTCAAATTGGTTAACCAAATATTTTCAAAATTAAGTTAGGCATAGTTAAAAAAATTTTATCAGTTATTTGTTCATGTAAAAGGTCATACCAATATCTAGTTTCTGTGTTTCTTAAAAATATTGTTCGGATCTTAAAATGAATAGTGAATAAATGTCACATTGTTAAAATAGTTAAATATTTGCCTTCATTCATTGCATCCTACTCAAATCTATAGTGATAATAAGTATGAATAATATTGAACCGCTTCTCTGAAATAAGAACTCATGCTAGTATTCTTAATAAGTGGTCTTGAAAGACAGTGTACCATTGATTGTCAAATATTGCCATCTACACTGTAATAAAGTGTACACTGTAAATAGTATTTATGCAAGATAAAGCTGCCGGAGGAAAGATAAGCAAAACCAAGGTAAGCAAAGTATAATTCGATGAAATTTGTAATTGTTATTGCTTAGCTTTATCCTGAGAACCTGCATCCAATAAAAAAATTAATTTCAACACACACAGATTGCATTCTACACTAACAAAAGGCGCCCAAACGTATACTTAACCATTAAACATAAATCAAATCCTTATACATAAACAAAAATTATTCATTACACTATTTGGAGCAAACCACAACAACACCACGACAAAAACTACATATTATACACAATATACTATACACTACTACAAAGTACAGTAAAAAACAAAATTATAATTATAATAGTTTGTTATATTGAGCAAATTTTACGGCCTCACAGAAAGAGAGTAGAGCGCTTCAAATAAGTTCGACTTCTGTAACGTTTTAAGAGACTGTAAATCCAACAACGCAAGTGATCCGATTAGAAATTTCTCTAGCTTCACACCGTTTACAACTAGTTTATAATCGGATATTATTGCCACACTAAAAACCTAAAATAAATGACGCCAAGAGAATCAGCCAAAAGGCTGATTTTATGAGCTTAGTATTTATGTAATCAGCAACATTACATATAAATACCACTTCGAGCACCACTAATAAATAATTATACAGGGTGATTCAGTCATAATGTCATTAATTTTAACCACGCATTCGGAAGGCCTAATAAAGACAGAAAATCGAAAAAAATAGTTATTTATGGTATTAATGTGTTACCGTATACAGGTTCGGAAAGTCCCCATGGTACATCGGCCGTTACGTGAGAGCGATAAAGTAAGTCATAGAAATCCGTGTGATAGACAAGGATGGTTAAATTGAAGACGTTTCATAATCTGAATAGTCACTCCCACTTCTAAACCCGAAACGGGCGGTGACTATTCAGATTATGAAACGTCTTCACTATAGCCATCCTTGTCTATCGCACGGATTTCTTTACTTTACTTTGTCGCTCTCATGTAAAGGCAGATGGACCATGTGGATTTTCCAGCCCTGTATATAAGTCACGCTGGGAAATGTTTAGCCGTAGGCCTCGAGGGCTAATTTTCCCATATGACGACGAGTGCCATACAAAATTTTATCCAACACTTTCATAGAATTTCGTTTTAATAATAAATAAAAGTAATTTAAAATTTCAAATTGTCAATGTCAGAAAAAGTAATTTAACGAAATGAATGTATTTTTAAATATTACAAAGGATGCGATTGTCAACATAAATTGTGTCTGTATCCAAGGGCTGTCAGTAAACAAACAATATTTTTTAGTTGAAATCACGTTGAAATCTTAAAACGAAGATTGAAAAATTGGAAAATGTGGAAATTCCATCTGCAATTTTGGAAAAAGCTAATGCGGCTACTGCAGGCATCATTCCGGAAGAAATCAAAAGCTATATACTGTAAAGAACTGAAGCTGAAGGAATTTGAAGATTGAATAATCAAAGAAGTGGTGAAAGACGTAAATGAAGATGTCTTGCTGGCTTATTTTTTCAATTTAAGTGAGAAATTAGCTCCATCCACATTGTGGACTAAATATTCGATGTTGAAGTCAACTTTGAGAGTTTACAAGAACATTGAAATTTCTAAATTCGGAAGACTAGTTGCATTTCTAAAGTCTAAGCACAAACTTTTCCAACCAAAAAAATCCAAGGTCCTAGATAGAAAGAGAACAAATCGAACGAAGATTATCTTATGAATAAAGTAGATTCTACTGAATAGTTTAGCTGAGTTATATTTATTAAATTTGTTGTTGTTTTTAAGTGGCGTTGATATTAGGAGTTTTTGGCGCTTGCCTTTGCGAGGAACTGACCCATCAAGCATAGACAATATAGAGGACAAAGGGCAGTATATCCACATCATGATTTCAAATAGTAAAACGAACAAACCAAGAATCTTCGCTGTGTTAATTGAAGGATTTTGTGTTAATCCATTTGAATTAATTAGAAAATATTCTAAGCTAAGGCCTCAAAATGTGCAGCATAAAAGGTTCTTTTGCAAATTTCAAAAGGGAAAGTGCACACGTCAATGTGTTGGTATTAATAAGCTATCAAAAATCCCTAATGTTGTTGCGCGATTTTTAGGCTTGACATATTCTAATTTATATACAGGGCATGGCTTGCGTCGCGCATCTGCAACTCTCTTGGCCAATGCTGGAGGGGATATTACAACACTCAAACGCCACGGTGGATGGAAGTCATCTACCGTGGCAGAAGGTTATATAGAAGAGTCAGTTTCCAGCAAAATTGATATTACTAAAAATATACAAGAGGTGCAGACTCCTGAAGCAAGCATAAGCAAAGGGGCAACCTGTTCTATAAATTTACCACAATCACAAAATGATTCCAATAATCCTTTGGCATCAAATTATCATAAATGTTAATGTTAATATTAATAAATTGGTAGTTTGTAAGTTTGTAGCATTTTATTTTATTTGTTGACTTATTACTATTTCAGATTGGTTTTCTAATAAAAACTAGAAAAATAAACCTAACATTTGCCTTTTTATGATTTCTATAAGTCACTAGAGGGTTATAAGTCATAACTTACTAGTGACTTATGACTTATAACTCACTAGTGTCTTATAGGCCACATTATTCCTTTAAAACCAAGGAAATTATACCAACATTGAAGCGAAACAGCGGATTTCCCCAGTCGTCTTGCAATTGGTTTTAAAATCAAAGTACGGCGAATCCTAAAAACATAGTGAAAACGTTAACAATGTTAAAAATACTAAACAATTCTAAAACAAAAATTATCCTTATACATTTGTTTTTATTAACAAATAAATATTATTTGTTTAAAAATATAAAAAAGTATCTTATGCATTCAGGTCACTAGATAAAAATATCTGTTTATTTCTTCTCGTTCACTACGTTTTAAAAAGGTGGTGATTTTTGCTTTTGGTGAATTAAACGCATGGTTAAAATTGTGGTACTTATTTCTGATAAAAAAATGTGATTTTTTTATGCAATAAATGTGTAATGTTCAGTTGTTTGTTTAATTTAGCAAAACTATAGGAGATGCAATTACACATTAAGAACTAATGAAAAATTTTAACAAATTTCACCTTTTATGCGCCTGTTTTTAGAATCTGAATAAAGAACCACTAAAGATGTCAACGCCTTATTCGTATATAACATAATTATTGCAAAACCATCTCTGTTGTTTTCACATTATTGCAATCTGCGGATTGTGGACTGTATCGTAACCCACATAAGCGAAAGTAGCGTTGCAAGTTGACGCTGATCTCATATCTGGCGATGATGAAAGAGGCGGTTTGCGGTAGTCAATACAGGCGATTTTCCGATACGAAATACTTACTACTCGTATCAAGCGAGGTCTAGGTCTCCCCTACAAAAAGTTTGCGTTGTAGTAATTTGGAATCAACTCAATCTTCGCTAAAAAATTCAATCAGGGAACTAGGTTGCAGAAAGTTTTTTATAAATCGTGCTAGTTAATTGATTTCTTCTCTATTTAGCATTTTTTAATAAAACTGTATTTTATTTATGTCAAAGAAGCATGCCTAAATACCATATTTTATTTATACCATAGTTATAAAGCAATACAGGGTGTTAAATAGTGGTACGTACTTCTTTTATTTAGCAAAATTGGCATGTAACACTTTTATATCCTAAGAACAAATGACTTATGGTAGAAAAGATTTCTTTATATTATAACAACTAAGAAAATGTCATTTTTCATGTACATTTGTATGGTCAGGGCAAATACTACAACCCACAGTTTTTTTAATACTAATATAAATTAAATAAACATGACCCTTTAAAAGATAATAATAATAAATAATTTATTTTCCTCTTAAACATGTACCGATAGGAATAGTCAAACTTACAAACACAAACATAAATTACATAGAAGGATAGAATTTTAATACGGAATACAAATATTTATTTACTAAATATTGTTTTAATTTTGAATAAAAACCCCCTATTTATTTATACTTTTTAGTACCACAGGTAAACAGTTAAATATTTTAGGCCCTTTTTTGTTTGAATATGTACAGGGTATCTCAAACTCGATAGTATGGACCTTGCTGTGAGAATTCAAAAAATTTAAATAAACTTTGGGATACGTGGTGTTAAATGGGATGAGGTAAGCTCCATTTTCAATCGAAAGTATTATCTTACCTGGCAAAGTGAGAATTCTATAATGTTTAAATATATTTCTACAAGAATAAGTACTTCAAACACCAAACACATCTTAAACGACATTTCTTCGCAATAGAAACATGGGACGAAAGAGTTGAATTACCCCAGAAACAAACACCATACCCCAATCGAGATTCAACTTATTTCGAAATAAATAGGTTATTGAAGACAATTCTGATATATTTTTACAGTTACATTTTCAATTAAGGTTTGTGGCCAAATTTGGACTTAAAAATTTTACTGTCACAGTATCAGTAGGTAGAGAAGTACTAATATTCAAATTTAATGTTTCTCGGTTTCTATTCTGAATTGTGCAAAATCGAAGTGCTTGAATTTTTCCAATATTAAAATGTAATGAATTTTGGGCAAACCAGTTACTTAAGTTAATCAGTAAAATATCACATTCAAGTTTTAAGATTCGATTTGACTTATTAAATATTACTAATGACGTATCATCAGCGTACACAGTAAAATATTAGTATTAGGTGAGAGAGTATCGATATCGTTTGCATATAGTAAAAATAACACAGGGCCTAAAACAGATCCCTGTGGTACAACCAACATTATCAAAGAGCATTCCGAGTTATATTTACCACAAACATTCTGATTATTATAAATAATGATAACACAGCCACACAGAAAACAAAAGTTTTTATGCGACATATATTTTTCGTAGTAATTTGGCCTCCTGAACTCGAATCTGGGGTCAGAATTGGCCCATCACGTCACAATTTTTTCCTAACCTCAAAAAACTTGTGAAAAATAGTGAAAATTGATGAAAATTTACTGGGAAAATTTGGAAAAAAATTTATTTCCACATCAAATAGTACATTTTTATGTAAAAGACTCTGCTGAATTCAAATCCACTGTCAGAATTGAGCTAGAACGTGTTTTTTTTTCTAACCTCAAAAAACCGAGCAGGAATCGCTATTTTCAAATTCTGAGCGGATTTTGACCAGATTTTGTATAAAGGGGTTTTTTGGGTCACTGATTACGAATATGAATTCACATTGTAAAAATTCAAGATGGCTGATCCAATATGGCGGGTGTACTTTTTTGAAATCCACCGATTTCAGTAAAATTTGGCATCATAAGGATTGATGGTTGATCTCACCTTCATTAGTCTGGAGCCAGATTTTCATAAATCAAGGTAAAAGATTCCACTCCGTCTAAAAATGTGACTTCGCTTAAAAAAATGACTTAAGGACTCTACACATGTAATGATGTGTAGTGTGATGTGCTTGTTTCCAAGGGACAAGACAAAAAAGTTTCTACTTTATTCTTTCATTTATTTAGTCGTGCATGGGCTTATGGTTTTCCAATCAGATTTTTTTAACTACTATAGGTACAGTTTTCCTATGGCAGTTAGATGCTTTTATTTCTTAAAAATTTTAAAGTTCAAGGAAAAGGACACATTACTGCCACACAGCACATCACTGCATCTGCTTATGCCTTCAATCTAAAAATGTGACTTTGCCGAAAAAATGCCGCCTACGCGGCCTAAAATTATGACTCTGCCTACAAATTTTACCTTGATTTATGAAAATCTGGCTCCAGATGTGTGATTAATTAAGGTGAGATCAACCAGCAATCCTTATGATGCCAAATTTTACTGAAATCGGTGGATTTCAAAAAAGTACACCCGCCATATTGGATCAGCCATCTTGAATTTTTACAATGTGAATTCATATTCGTAATCAGCGACCCAAAAAACCCCTTTATACAAAATCTGGTCAAAATCCGCTCAGAATTTGAAAAATGCGATTCCTGTTCGGTTTTTTGAGGTTAGAAAAAAAACACACGTTCTAGCTCAATTCTGACAGTGGATTTGAATTCAGCAGAGTCTTTTACATAAAAATGTACTATTTGATGAGGAAATAAATTTTTTTCCAAATTTTCCCAGTAAATTTTCATCAATTTTCACTATTTTTCACAAGTTTTTTGAGGTTAGGAAAAATTGTGACGTGATGGGCCAATTCTGACCCCAGATTCGTGTTCAGGAGTCCAAATTACTACGAAAAATATATGTCGCATAAAAAGTATACCCAACTTTTTTTTTCTGTGTGGCTGAGAATCATTTAGAGTAACGACTTTCAAGAATAATGATTCCACACTCTACATACGATTTAAATTAAAGAAAACTGTAGACCTCTCTTCCTAAAAATACAGGGTATTAATTAATAAACTTTAAGAGATGCTTATTTCAGTAATTGTAAACCAAAAATCATCACCTATACATTTTTTTACTTTATATTAAGCTAACTTAAACAAGTCCTAACAAATAAACTCAAACAATATTTTTCGATACCAGAGATTTATACCTTTTATACAATTTTTATTTTTCTATTGAATAAGTTTTCTATTGGAGGCTAGATGAAGATCATTTTTTTTTGTTTACTTATAACACAATTAGATCCGATCAATCTACACCCACTCACCCACTACTTCACATTTTTCTTTTGTTAAATCCTCTAAATTTGACAGTTCATATCCTATCAAAGGTTACAAAAGACAATTGTCAAGCATGTATCAATGTTTTTTCATAAATTTCGTATTTATTACCATTTTTTATAAAAATTACAGAATTTCAAATTTTGTACTTTCTAATAATTATTTACACCCTTTATATGTATATCGTATACTATAAAATATAAAAATGTCGGTACAAAGTGTGTAATAAATCTCAACCAATAGAGACAGCATTATAAAAAAAATATATACGCTAACTGGTTTACAACTAGCAATGATTATTTGTTGTTCGCGCCAACTTGTTTATTATCATTAATTAAGACGCTCGAGCCTGACAAATGAACTTTAACAACAACCAAAACACTGACGTGAAATGCAAATCATGCTATATCACTCAATGAATATTCATAAATATTGTTAAAAAACATTTTACAGTTCCTCAAGATGCTTTTCTAAGAGTCGAATTGAGCTTTCATAATTCAATTTTTCCTGATTCTTCTTCAATTATGTAAATCGGCGGTACCAAAGAGTGGGTATTATTTGTATCGTGAAAGTAAACCTTTGTCCGGGTAGGTGTGGTCCTCTATATATACAAAGCCATTTCTTTTGAATCGCATCACTTCATCTCATGTTTTTTGGTACCAGAGCCATGAAATCGTTTTTGGTAAGTACCGAACAGTGCCATGAGTTGGAGAAAATTCAGAAAGTGTCGATATTAGTGATTTTTACGTGAAATCGTTTAGGAAAGTGTTTAAAAAAAATAATTTTAACAAATTTTTGCAACACAAAGTATAAATATCTTATTTCAATTTATTTATTCTTTCAATCACAATTGTACAGAGAGTTTTTGAGTACCGGTAAGTTTTTGAGGGTGCTAAATATGTCAGAAATATTAGTTTTTGACCGTAGGTTAGAGATCGCTAGTTGTGGCGCTACCCAGTGGTTAAATTTTTTGCTATGAATGTCGTATTAACTTGCTGAACTGTATATGTAAAAAACACCGTCTTTTGAAAAATCACAACTGACTGCCTCAAAGTTAACTTCTATTTCTTAATATACAGTGCGACCGGAAATAACGAAACCATACTTGGGTAGAAATAAACCGTTTTAGCTCAAGTTACCATAATACAATTTTAGTTGCTTAAAAAATTATGGGCCTTCAAAAAATTCTGTTTTTATAATTGTGTGATTAAAATTTGATTTTAAAGAATCATCTTTGACATCCTATGTCTCAGAAACAAATTACTATAGCCCCATGTTCAATAAGAAATAATAATTTTTTGTTTTTATCAAGTCATAGAATACCTGATTTCAAACAAAAACCTTAGTTGTTAATTGGTTAAACTTTTGTCTTATAAAAAACAATATTTTTTAAAATTAATTAAATGCAGAAGTAGTTTTTAGTGAATTTATCAAAACAAATCGATTTAGACAAATATTAATAAAGACAACTTTAATTACATCTAATTGGTGAAGATAAAAATTCTGTCGACAGAAAGACTGGTATATCATTGGACTTAATAAAATACATAACAAAATTATTTTCACGAATGAAACTGCAAATAGTAAATTTTTTATTTCAAATAAATTGCCACAATTTTAAATGAAAAATAATTAAATAATAATTAAATAAAATAAAAATAACTATAAAACTATTCGCTTTACAAATAAAAATCTATGAGAAGCCTTTGTTAGAAATATGACTGTATAATTTTAAATACAATATGATCGTCAAAAATTTTGAATTCTCTAAAGGAGTACCTTCTCTTTAGATTTTCGACAATTACATTATATTTGAAATCCTTCAAAGTTTTAGTGGGATAAAGATCAATAAATAAAAGAACACTATATTTTAAATCATTGCCAACGTTTCGGTATTATTTTACACCATTCTCATGGCTCGAAATTTGAAGTGTCTTTTGTCCAACTTAACTAAATGTTAAGAAGATGGTATCTAGATACTTATATGTGTACTTATGATTCATGGAATAAATTCAATGCGGTTTTCTTTCACAGTAAAAATTGTTATAATGTCATACTGTTCAGCAGAATGACAGTAGAAAAATGTTTACAATTTTTACTGTGAAAGGAAACCGCATTGAATTTGTTCCATGTACACATATAAGTATCTAGATACCATCTTCTTAATATTTAGAACTAAGTTGGACAATAGGCACGTAAAAAACGATCGAAACGTTGGCAATGATTTAAAATATAGTGTTCTTTTATTTATTGATCTTTATCCCACTAAAACCTTGACTTGGATAACTAATCAAGATCGCTAAACAGTGGAATATATAGGTATATTTTTTTATTTCAGGTCGTCTCTGCAATACTAGCCTTTGCCAACATAGCAAACTGTGGAGTATTAAGCGGAGGAATCAGCACAGACTTAACCCCACCCATCTCTTCCTCATATGGAATTGGATATGGCTCTGGAGCATCACACATCGCCATCGAAGGCAGTCATAGTGGTCTAGGTGTTGGCTTAACGGCTGGTTTAGGACATGGAGCACTATCAGCTGGTCCAGCCCTTGAAGTTGGTGCTGCAGTTACACCTGGATTAGGAGCGTATGCCTCTACACCAATCCTATCCGCAGGAGGAATAGGACATGGTATTGGACTAGGAAATAGTATTGGATTAGGAAGCGGACTTGGCATCGGTATTGGTAGTCTAGGAGGTGGATATGGAGGTAGTTACGGAGGTAGTTACGGAGGTGGTTACGGAGGTGGATATGGAGGTGGATTTGGATACGGAGGAGGTGCCGGATTCGGAAGTGGTTCTGGATTTGGTGGAGGAATCGGAATCGGAATAGGAAACGCCGGTACAATCAACGGAGGCACCACCTACTCCCATCAAACGCAAACAGTGAACGTACCAGTGCCAGTACCACAACCGTACCCTGTCAGCCGTCCAGTTCCAGTACCAGTTCCCGTACCTAGACCCGTGGAAGTACCAAGACCTGTTCGCGTAGAAGTACCCCAGCCATACAAAGTCGTTGTATCCAGACCCTACCCAGTGCCAGTACCTCGTCCATACCCAGTACCAGTGAAGGTAAAGGAATTTGTAAAGGTACCAACTCCGGTTCACGTGAGGGTACCCAAGCCTTATCCCGTATCTGTACCAAAGCCTTATCCAGTTTCTGTACCAACTAAGGTCGAAGTAAGTGTACCAGTACCAGTTGCAGTTCACACCGATGCCCATATTGGGGTTAGCGCGGGACATGGGGGTATTGGAGGTGGGTCTTTCATCGGGGGTCACGGGGTAGGCTATTCTGGTTACTCTGACTTCAACTACAGCGGTAGCGGGTCTTTCGAAGACCACGGACACGGCCATGGAACACTGTACGCCAGTAATGGAGGTTACAAATACTGATTAGGTTTATATAAATACAATCTTTTTCTAGTCTCGTTTCTTTATTGTTAATCTCGCATTTGTAGTAAAAATTAAATATATTTTTCGAGAAATATGTGTATAATTTATGTAATATCTTGTAATCTAGGTTTTAATTTAGGACAATCTTATTTATAACTAGCAACCCGCTCCGGCTTCGCACGGGCAAATATAAAATAGCCTATGTTACCCCGAGGAGATGTAGCTTTCGGTAAAATTGGTTGAGTAGTTTTTGAGTTAAATCGTAACAAACAAAAAATAATCTTTCATCTAATGCGACCCTAATATTAATTTTAAAATAATTCTCGATCTACCTAAAGACAACAAACGAACTCAAAACTAGAAATGCAAAACCTTTAAATTTAAAACAATATACCTAGGTAACTACCAACAATGCGAAAACAAAACGAATTAAATTAAAGTACCTATGTTCAGGACTATCAATTTTAATTAATAAGTAAGTAGTTAGGTATCTAACTACCTAAAGAAAACAAACACGAAACAAAAATGCGACTATGAAATTTTAAATGATTCACAATAAGAAAAAAAACAAACAAATTATTAAAACTCAATGAAATAAAAGTATTTTTGCAAGTATCTATGTATGTTCCGACTACCTAAAGACAACAAATACAAAACAAAAATGTGACCTTAAAATATCGAACGCAATTATAACTTTCCAACAACACCCAGAAAGAAAACACAGTCGTCGGTCGTCACCTCCATTCGCTCCAAGTCAGTTTATTAAAGCATCACGCGCGCGTTATCGTTCGGCTTATTAGCTAAACAGTAGGCAAAACGGTGCGGAGGGAGGGTCGGCGATCGCATCAAGCGAAGCGAGGCGCTTGAATTTTATTCTCGCGTCCGTATTTTTTTTGCGATTACTCCTAAGATATTCATTTAAATTATATGGTGTAAATGAGTAAAATAATGTGCATGAAATGCTTAAAGCCTCTAACTTATTTAAAATGATAAGGATTAATACCGAATTTGTATAAATAGGTTTTACATTACCTTTATAAAAACTTTAAAAACTTAACAAATTATATACTAAAACCTTCCTCGAGAACCACTCTATCCATTGGTGAAAACAGCATGAAAATCGGTGCAGTAGTTTTTGAGTTTATCGCGAACAGACAGACAGACAGACAGATAGACGCGGCGGAGGACTTTGTTTTATAATATGTAGTGATGTTTAGAAATATGTGAGAAATTTAATAACTTGATAGTTTTATATGATCACAAACTCACATTTACTGATTATATTTCGATAATCGTCAGAAATTTTAATCAGTTTCTGTAATATTGACACTTTAAAATTGTTGTCTGTGAAATTCATGAGGAGTAAGATATGGTACCTGTATAAGGGCACCAATGGGTACCTCTCATATGGGCAACGATTTATCAAAATGACATATTGTGCTCTTTAGAATTTAACTTTAATTATTGCTAAGTCTTTTTATTTTCTATAATTTTAATAAATAAATAAATAAATCTAAAATCTGCTTAAACAAGACGTCTCACATTTTTATTGTCTAAATTATCTAAAATGGAAAAGAAAGCCAAGACGGGGTTAATAAATTTGATTGTACGTCCGCCTTTTAAGCACGAATGTTATTCCAAGTAAGATTTGAATAAATTAGAAACCATTTTGATAAAATTTTCCTTTAATACCATCTGCAGCCGCTTCTCTCAAACGCAATATACCTCTGCCGCTCGGCAGAGAAAATATCCCTCCGCAAAGCTTAGATTTACTTTTTAAGTAATCTTCCATGTCAAAGTTGTACTCTCGAAGAAGTTAAAAATATAATGAATACTTAAACAAACTCTTAATTTATAAGTTGGCTGAGTTTTTCCTTCCCCTACCGTTTCGTTTTGTTTACTTTGTAAAGTAATGATTCCGGGCACATCAATAAATTCGTAAACGGCCGTAAAATAATGCACGTCCTAAATTATTACTACAACATCTCTAGAGCCTCCTTGAAATACTAGCGGCACGAAGTTAGACAGATATGATCCACATTTTGGCATATATTAGTGTCTAAAAACTAATTCCTTGAGGTATATGTATTAGTCAGCACCGAAACATGTTATAAATTTCTCCACTGTCTAATATCCGATAGACTTTCTACCAAACCGTGGCTCAATTGTGACACATACAATAACTGCTTAGGTTTACGCTACTCAAACAAATATAGCACCACTCTACTATCGAAATAAATGAAATAGTCCCCTGAGTTTGGAAACCGATATTAAGAAAACGTATCTGCTAAAAAATTTGAAATTTGGACTATATGTATATAGCCTCACTATTACTCTATTGTGTGGTAAAATTTCAGTTAATTCCGTTATCCCATTTTTTAGTTATTAATGAAAATGTTGAAAAAATCATGGTTTTCTACCTACAAAATTGATACCTCTCACTTTAACCCGTCGTCATTTTTTTGTTAATTAATAAAAAAATCCCAAATTTTTACTGACGATAAATCGAAGTATTGTCTTTAGTACTGTGAAGGTCATTTGTCTCAAAAGCTCTCCTTATTTTATTTTAAACAAAACAGAAGTCAGTGCTATCTCCGTAAATATTACGTTCTTTAAAAAAATAAAAAATTGACAGGTAGTAAATAACTGTAAACATCAATCTGAAAAAAATTGTTAAAATAATACAGTTGTAAATATGATATTCTTAAAAACAGTATCGGAATGGTCAATTACGTTCACGGTTGGATCGAGGAGTGTGAGGTAAGAGTTTCGCTGGTCCAAATTTCAAATTTCTTCGCCCCTACATTTTCCTAATATCGGTTTCCAAACTCAAGGGTCTATTTCATTTATTTCGATTAGTAGACGTAGACAAGACAGTAGCGACTGAAAAATAAAACGCCTGGGGGTTTTGTCTCAATTGCCGTTTCGAGGATGATCGTACATAGTCTGTGGTGGTCGATGAAGATCGGTAATGGAATATTTTCGATGACGGTTGATGATGGTCAAAAATGATTTTATGATAGATAGTCCAATCGAATTAGAGTTTGAACTTGAAACAATTATTAGTAGGCATTTTATTGCACTTTATGATGGGGAAAGGTATGCAGAATGATAATATCTAAAAAGTAACTCGAAAGAAGTGAGGCTAAGTTGGCAAATTGCAAATAAGTTGCAAAATTACATGTCCTTTTCACTTTTTTTTACTGCCCTCGAAAATCTAGACGACTTATCGGAAAATTTGTCATGTTATGTTGTTGGCAATTAAATTATCTACAATTTAAGGCATCTAAAGTCATATTTCACCAATTTGTTAACTGTAAAATAAAGGCTGAACACGGAAAATTCGAAAAAACGATGGTTGTTGATGAAATTTATAGAAAAGACGGTCAATCCAAAGACCAACATGTGTACCAAAGACCGATTGAATTCACCGTGATTCCAGGTATTTATCAATTTATTTCATACGTTTTTCTTGCAATTAATTGTTTCATTAATAAACGTTAATTTTAGAAGTTAATATCGACGATATAGGTTCTAATTGATCCAAAGAAACGTATCGAAAAAGAAAACTTTCAAACAGTTAAAATTAAATAGCCCTTTACAAGTAACAAAGTAGGACGTGCAAAACAGCGTTATAAACAAATTGTCACAGGCTCAGGCAAATGCCGCTCGGGAACTCGCTCTTTTTTGCATAAAATAGAGCTTATTTTTACGGTAATTGAAAAAAAGACAGAAATCACCCACACCTCTTTGTTCCCTAGTTGGCTTGTTTTTATAACGTTAATTCTTAATTAATTGATGGATGTATCGAACAAGGATTTTAGAGACAAAGAAAGGGTAAAACTTTTATTTCCAGTACGTTTTACATTGATAGTCCATGTAATAAACACGCTAGCAGCAGTAAAAATTAACGTTAATGAACGCGGGAGACGGAGCGCCGGGCCCGAGCATGTGCGTGGACGTTGCCCTCGTCGAGCGCGAGATTTTTGACTTGAACGTTTCAAATTCAGGTTTTCAGGTTTTATGATCTAATTCGACTGGAGTAAGATTAAATAGCTTTACAATACATTAAATAATTTTACGATAAATTTTTAGTTTTATTTACGCAACATTAAATGTTTTTTCGTTGGATTAGATGATTTTTTGTTAGTTAGATGCCTTTTCGATGTGCTACATACATTTTACACTGCAAATTATGTAAAAAAATTGGCACATTTGACACGACCATTGAAAGTTAATAATTTGTCTCATCTTTAACTTACTTTACATAGGTCTAGACCGTTTTTGTTTTAAAGGAATTCGAAACAAGTTTATTCTCTAACTTTGTTCAACGGGTGTACCTGCTTACGTCGCACACCCATGAGGCTCCACGACCTACAGGGATTCCCTTTCAGCTGTTATCTGCCGTCGAGTCCCGAACAAGAGTAAAAGTCGTTCTGCAGGTCAACTCACAGACCCGTCGGCGATCTGCTTTTTTAAATTATGTTTCTCGTTTGTCCATATGTTATTTATTTAAAGATCACGGATTGCTCGCATGCCGATAAAACAGGAGAAATTGCCAGGTGAGGAATAACTTGATCGAATTTCTTTGAATGATTATGAAACTGTAATATTAAAGTATGGGATGGACCTGGTATAAGATAAATTATGTTGGATCTGCAATTACCGGCGGTGTCAGGGTGAAGAGGACGTGAAAATCCGGAAATACCCATTATTTCCAATCACATGCAACGTCAGCCGCAACCCTTGAAATGTCCTGGAAACCGACGCGATTTTCCGCAGGCAATCTTGTTACAAAGATTAAAGATAGCACGGTACTGCATACAGATTCCCGGGGATGTCTGTGAAAGCGTTACGGAAAGAACGAAACGAGAAGCAAATCCTCTTTCGGAAAATTCGGACAATTATTTTCATGGGCGCCATCAACAAGGAGCCCAAGAGGGGCAAATTTAATATATCAGATTATTTAATCTCTTGCTAGATCTGAGGTCTGAAACATAACGAAATAGACTTTTTTAGTAGTGACGTCATATACGCCAAATAATAGGTAACCTCATAGTGAACATTGCCATGAAGAATTTCTCAATATTTTTACTATATCGATTTTCGACCTTATGTACTTTGGACATAATTGCCAAAAAAAATGGCTTCTTTGTCATGACCTTAAATATCGCGATATTCTGGTAATATTAGAAATATTTAAGAAGTTTCAAACCCCGAGTGACAAACTAATAGAATTATAGAATTTATATATAAATTTATAGAACAATATTGACATTTATAGTAATTATTAATTTAAAATTATAGTGGTGTTATACTGAGCATATGCATTAAAGATAATTTCATGTAAGCGACGTAGCCTCACAACAGGATATCATTCAAGAAAAGATTGGTTATGGTTAAGAGTACATCTATAACAAACCACGTGAAGAAAAATAAACACTCAATAAACACACTGACACAGTACAACAATAAAAGTACTTGGTAGAACTAGAAAATGCCAGGATTAAACAAAACAAGAGAAAGTACCCTAATGATACCAGCGATGACATATCAACAAGATCAAGCTATTCTTTCCGAGCATGCGCATTAGGCATAACACGGCTAATGTTAAATTTTTACTCTAATTAATTTTAGGAATATTCTTTTATATCGTTTTTTTGTAAGTTTTAAGCACAATAGTGTATCTATTTTACGAAACACCTGTTCATAAATACTTCCAAATCCTTATAAATTAATTTGAAGTTCTTGATTTTTATAGTATATTGAAATGAAATCAGATATGAGAGAACAAATCAAAATGTAAAGCAAAGGTCTATTTAAAAGACAAAGCAGTAAATATAATGGTTTGAAGTGGTTATTATTATTTATTGTTAGTATTGAATCAGTATTAGGAATCATATCCGTTACCGATATCTAATAAAAGTTAAAATGTTAGAGTATTTAAAAATAGTTATAGTATATGGTATAATATTAAGTAGAAAAAAATATTAAAGGTCAAAGAAGAGTGTATATCAATAAATCAATATGTCAAAGAAATGTCAAAAATTTAAAGTGGGATTCACATGGAATCAAGTAGTAAATAGAAAAGTAACATAAGAGTAGAGAATGAGAAATATTTTGAAGTGGAATGTAAATGGAGATTGTTAAGAAACTATAATAGGGTATAAGTGTAAAGGTTAAGTGAAGTGAGGTGAGTGAAAAAGAAAAAAAAACGGCAAGTAAAAAGAAAGCAGAACGAGATATGTGAAAAGACCTTAACAGAGGAAAAACCAAAATCAAGGTACTTAGTGGAAAAAAATAATTATTATTGATTAGTTACAAGAAATTAGAGAGAGAGACGTCAGATATTATAGAAAAATATTAAAAGAATCCGGAAGACAAGTCGAAGCAGCAGAAAGAAAACGAACTATACACATCAGCAGCAGAGAGAAAGCGGAAAGCCAGCAGCCAAGAGAAAGAAAGACGATCACAGGCGAGGTCCAGGAAACAGGACAAATAAGAGGCCAGAGGAGCAGCATCAGTGGCAGGTTACAAGAAAATTAATCAGAAAACGGTGTAGCAGATAGTGTCCAAGCACCTACTGAAACAGGAAAGGAAAGGAAACAAATAAAAACCGGTATATAAAAAGAAAAGGTACCTTTCTTTCTTTTAATGGTCGTATAAAATTCGTGCACAGACTAACAGTAAAATTTGTTTAAAAACTTGCTATATTTAAAATCAAACAGTTGAAACAAATTTAAGTCAGTGATATATCAAGCATTATCAAAATATTTGGCCAATTATTTAAATTTATAGATCATAAGATTAGATATAAAGAGGAACACATTAAAACAAGAAATTGCACGAGTAAATATAAATTAAGTCCAAAAAGGCAACCAGTAATACAGATCGAAATAAATTCTTGTTTTAAGTGGTCAAAACATTGTAAGAACTTCAAAATATTTGACAATTTGTGTGACATTTCTTATTTGAAACATTGATATACTATATTAAATACCAGATTGATATTAATAAATTAATTTAAACATCTCTTGTTTTTAAGTTGTTAGTTTGCATGGTTTCTGGAAGAATACTAGTTTGAATTGAACCAACTCCTGAGCAGGGTCTACAGTTAGCAGGGCAAAGTATACAACCAACACTACGCTAAAAAGTAAAATTACAGGTTACACTAAAACTTAATTTAAAATTAATTTGGCGCTCATATAAACACATAGAAAAAGTATCACATAACTACACCATAACAATATATTTAAATAGTACACAAGGGTCAGATGCCGTCTGTACAATTTCAACTATGACAAGTTGTTACGGGTTGCCTAAATATGTGACGTCACACTAAAAGAGTCTATAATAGACATTGGCGATTATACAGGCTGTTACATATTCGCTTCTCACTACAAGGATCTCGAAAACGGTAAGCGATACAAACTAGCTTAATTGGGGGCAAACTTGCGTAATCAGGGGACCAACATTATGCTCTAAAAAATCAAGGCTAACATGATTTTTGAAATATTGGAAAAAAAACAAAATTTTGGAAATCCGTTTTTGTCTCATTTCAGCCCTATTTTAGGTGATATTGAAAAAAGAAGAACACTTTCTCATGGCCACTTTTTGCCCTCTATCGAATGGCATAATCAATTTTTATATGTAACGTTTCGTCGGTCCAGAACCATCATCAACTTCATTTTTTTAAAAACGACCCTTCATCACCCCCAATGCTGTACTGCCTCAGCCCGAACCAGAATCAGACGTTTTGTCTCGAAAAACTCATCTTCAGTGTATTTGTTCCAAATTTATCTAAATTTTTTTATTTAGATTTCTTTGTTTATTGAATTATCGTACACAGTAAGTATCGTTAGTCCCTGTGGAATCCATCTAGTTATTAGTAGTGAGAAGCGAATTTGTAACAGCCTGTATAATATACAAAATAATCAGAGTAATAAATAGAAAAAGTCACAAGAAATGCAGAAGTAAGTAGACCAGATGATCTTGTACCGATGTCAAAAAATAGAACTGAACGAAAATGGGTAACAAAAAGAGTAGAACAGACAGATAAAATGGGACTATACAGGGCGATTCACAAAAGGTGACCAAAAATGAAACCTCATATTACCTGGTGAATTTTAAGGGGAGTTTTTCGTATAAAGTTTTTATCTAGGACTTAAAATTTAACTCTTAAACTTAAAAAAATATTTTTATGTTTTTTAAATAATTTAAAAACTAGTTAATGAAACAATATGAAATTGGGCACATGTATTTATGTAAACATTATCCAAAATCTGAGGATTTTTTCTAAAATTTAGATGCTCCAGTGGTGGAGATACAGGGTATCGGCGACATACACTAATGGAAAAAATTAAGGGGTCAAAATTTAGATTTTTTTTTGTCCCCATAATTTTTTCCATTAGTGTATTTTCCTAAATAAAATAATACGCCACTGCTTTGCGGTGTCTAAATTACATGGTAGGCTGCGATAGCAACTTCAACATTCTAAGCCGTTAAAAGAAAGAATAAATAATGCTTTTCATCATATTCAAGCAACAATAAATTTCGAACAAATTCCATTTTCGTTATTAAAAAGATGTCGGGCCTGTGTTCGTGGAAATGGAGGTATTTTTGAGTATTTACTCAAATAAAATCATTATAATTATGACTAATGTTATTACTTTCTTTATTCGATTAAATAACCGATTGATTAGTGTTTGTCATTTAAGTAAAAATGTTTTCAGTTAGTTTTTTTAAGTTTTACTCGATAATCAGGCTTTTTTCGAAAAACGTACTTTATTTAGAAAAATATATCACTGATACCCTGTATCTCCGCCACTGGAGCAAATGAATTTCAGGAAAAGGCCTAAGATTTTGGACAATGTTTACGTGTGCCCAATTTCAAATTATTTCACTTATCTACTAGTTTTTAAATTATTTTAAAAAATTTAAAATATTTTTTTAAGTTTAACACCCTGTATCTTTTTAATGAAGCGTCCTAGATAAAAACTTTATACGAAAGACTCCCCTTAAAATTCAACAAAGAATACGAGGTTTCATTTTTGGTCACCGTTTGAGAATCACCCTGTATATTAACGAAAAAATAAATATAAAAAAGAAAAGGTTTTGAAAGTAAACGCATATCGAGGGAAAGCATACCGGTTTGCGGAAATGGAACAAGTCAAATATTTGGGAAATATATATATGCAAGAAAACCTAAAATATGAGAAGTAATCGAAACCAGAATAATGTCGGGAAATTTAGAATTTAAAAAAATTATAAGAAAGGGTTAGCCTGTATCGATGATTCATCCACCTGCGTTTTGAAATTCATCCGGCGAACGACAATTGCGTAACAAGATGCATAATTCGACCTCTATTCGACTGGTTCAATGAAATTTATGAAGCTCCAGCTCCGAGTGAGGAATTTTTATTACGTTATTTATCGCATGTTTCACTTTTCGTCCAGACAATGGCTCTTTATAAAACACCGCCTTTTTTTGGAAAGGCAGAAAGTGAAAGGAGATATTTTGTGTTGTCCGCTGATTTATCCCCCTTACACATATTTCGTTGCCGAGTACAGCGCTAAAATAAAGATGAATCATAAATTCCCGGAGCAGCGGAAGGAATGGGGATGACGTACATTATTGCAAAATTACACTTAACTTGGCCATATTTGAATAATTTCAAAGTTAGAAGTTTTGGCCTCTACTGAAATTATTAAAACGAATAAAATGATTATTGGAAACTAAAATATTGTGCAAAACCGTACTTATCTTATCAACTTCGACGTCACCTGTTACATGAGTGTTGTATAATAAGGAAAAAGTAATGTTAACGGTCGATAGAAGGAAGCACAAAAAACAGGCACTTAGGTAGGAAATTCTGGAAGGAAGCCTAAATAGTTGAAGATAGGGAGTTGAAGTGAGAACAGTGTGCAGATGGGTAATAAGACGATCGGCGGGCAGTGTGACAAAGTAGAGTAAAATTAAGTGTTTAACCGGTATTAATTAGCAGGTAATATTCTTTAAGTACTTTGTTGTTAATTGTTCTATGTAATCTTATAATTGTGATGATTATATATGTTTCATGATAATAATTCTTTGTATGTTTAGCTTCCATTGCTTTATGCTCAAGGGCATATATTTTTCCAAGGTAAAATTGTTATAATTATACTTAAAGTTTGCCCATTATTTATTTCATGTTAAAAATATATGTATTGACCTAATTACCAGACATTACAATAACGACTTCTTTGTTTCACATCTAACTTGTTTTTGCTACGATTACGTTATACATAAAATATAGATGTTTCATCATAATAATTCTGTATATGTTTAGCCTTCATTGTCTTACGCTCAGGGGCGTATATTTCTCTAAGATAAAATTGTTATAATTATTATTAACGATTGCTCATTATTTATTACATGTTAAAATATGTATATTGTCGTGACTGCCCAGATATTGCAAAGCAACTTCTTTGTTTCACATTTAACTTGTTTTATCATGATTGGGTTGTTCTTTGATTTCTTGTGCTCACTTTATGTCATACGTCTATACGAGCCTTGTTGACTCTACTAACATTTTCGCCCGTGCGGAACGAATCTGGATTAANAATTCTGTATATGTTTAGCCTTCATTGTCTTACGCTCAGGGGCGTATATTTTTCTAAGATAAAATTGTTATAATTATTATTAACGATTGCTCATTATTTATTTCATGTTAAAATATATATATATTGTGTGGGCGCCCAGACATTACAATAATGACTCTTTTGTTTCACATCTAACTTGTTTTTGTCATGATTACGTTGTTCGTAAAATATAGATGTTTCATGATAATAATTCTGTATATGTTTAGCCTTCATTGTCTTACGCTCAGAGGCGTGTATTTTTCTAATATAAAATTTTTACAATTATTATTAAAGATTGCTCATTATTTATTACATGTTAAAATACGAGTATGTATGTATGTCGTGACTGCCCAGATATTGCAATATCAACTACTTTGTTTCACATCTAAGTTGTTTTATCATGACTACGTTGTTCTTTGATTTCTTGTGCTCACTTTATGTCATACGTCTATACGAGCCTTGTTGACTTTACTAACATTTTCGCCCGTGCGGAACGAATCTGGATTAAGCTCGATTGCCTCCCGTATGGGACTCCAGGGTTATGAAGGATCTTCAGAAATCTCAACTATAGCTGGATTGCCTCTCGTATGGGACTCCAGTACCTTCCGCTCTGCCGGCTAACTAACACCAAACCTCTTCAGTTTTACTTGGAAGTGTGTATGACTAATATGAGGTAACAGATGACATTTAGTGACACATTAAATGAGACAGGTCTTATTTATCATTAGCAAAGGATCTTAATTTATACCTTTGGTTAGTGGTTGTTTCTGTATTTATATTTGGGTGGTAAGAGCAACGATCGTGGGTTTCTCTGCCATGCTCTTTCCCCACGGGAGCTCTAGGTGAACCTGGCACTCTCATTTTATGTTAAATGGTTGTTAATGTTTTTGTTGTTCTTTCTATTTGTCACATGTTTAATTTGAACTGTATGTAAATAAAGGTTAAGTGTATTTACTCTGCTTTTGTTTTATATAATTAAACCATACATCCCCTCTACAAAGTTAGTAGCCAGCGCCTTCCGGTCAATTAAAAATAGATACACACAACGTAGGTATTCCTTATGACAATCACATATTTTTGACCACAACTACTTTTTATATTTTTTTCGACCGAACCTAGGGTTGTTATACTACAATATTGACACTTACCACAACCTTAAGATTACAAATTGAGACCCCATTTACATACCAGGGAGGGCGGAAAAATTTAGGTACAAAGTATTCATTTTAAATACTATTGAAAGAGAAACTATATAGGCCATAATGTAGTTCCTTGTGGAATACATATTCACTATAAATACACAATGTATTTTGTTCGGGCAAATTAAGGGAAGACAACTATGAAGCCTGGTTTGCAGATTTTTGTGACAGTTGTCAATAGTTCAACTACTTCTATACCAGTTGCCAAGTCGTCGCCATGGATTTCGCGACATTTCTAAAAGTGACACGTGGCAACGATGTAGCAACAATGTGGCAACCACAAAAGTCTATAATCCGTGTCTCCTCTTATTAAACTCTATCCTGTAATTAATGTGTTATTTATATCAATACCCGTAATTACCCGTAAACATTTCTATTCGGAATCCTTCTAATTACAGCTGGCGGTTTATTAGGACATAAATTATCGGCGACGTTAAGGAGTATTTAATAGAAATCACGTCTTGAAAATTGGATTCTCGTGCCGCGCCTTGCGAGGAAGTGGAACTGGGAACACGGAAAGGAAAATTAATGAAAACTCAGTTACGCCCCGATTGGATTTTAAAGAAATTATTAGCTTCAATATTGGGTTCTCGGGAACGTTTGGAAATTTCGCACCGGAGGTCGCACGGGGGTTGGAAAGGAAGGAGGGGGACTCTTTGTAGGTATGCGTTTGTACATATAAGAAATAACCACTTCTCTAGTGTTTGCACTAGCCTTTTCACTTGAACATGTACATTTGTGCAGATACCCTAATGTTACGCCCATGGCTGTTCATAATCTCACGTAGAATAGTTAGCCAATTGGGTGCTGTAGATTGTGGGAATGTAATTGGGTGCAATAATAAAATAGCCGCTAGAACTTGGGAAGCTCTGCCTTTGTTTTTATCTGTTTACACAACTGTATAAAAAAATTAAAATGCTTTAACCATGTTCTGCATTGATACAAGTCGATACATCTCTTGGTTTATTTGTGCCACATCATACGTGTACACAAAATAGTTATTTACTCCATAAAGGACGATTTTGCGCCCGAGCAGAGCGAGGGCTGGCAATACAGTCCGAGACTGGTAAATTATACTTAACTGCTGCGTAGTGTATAACATTTTATCCCACAGTTCTTTATGATTCAAGAAATAAAGATTAGGTTTTATTTTTTGACATTTCTTAATCTTATGATGAAGAATCCTTTTTTTATTTTAAAGGATATGAGGAAGGCCAAATGCTTGAAAAATTCTATAAAAATAAACCCTACAGCCACATTTATTACATAACATCACTAAATAACTAGTTCCACAACTGCTTAATTATCCCTAAACGTACATAGCAAAGTAAACAATGTGAGAAAGCACCACTTGACTCGTTAAAGGCACCTATTACGAATTGTATCAATTACAAGTACATATCAATTATAATTATCGACTAATACAGCAGTAAACACACTAACACAAACCAGTAATTTAGAAATTACATTTGTATGAACTATTTATCTGTCATTAATTTAAGATTTCATACTCAACTCGCATCCTTCGAACCAAATTTCCGCCATTAGTCACTTTGAAACATCCTCTGGTGTGGACGGGAAAGTAATTATGAAAGAAACGTTAAATTTTAAAGAAATCATCACCCTTAACGTAGAAGTTTTAAATGGATTCGGGTACATCGCACCTGAATTCCAACACAAAATAGAAGCCGTTTGGTTTGGTATTCGCTCAGTGGTATTTATAGGTCAGTCTAGCTGATTCTAGTATAAACATATAAAAATTAATATTTTTAGGATTTATCTACCTGGGAATGCTAACAAGCGAGATAGTGAACATGATACTAGTATCGGGAGATATGGAAAAAATGATAGAAGCCACTTTTTTAACCCTCACTCACTTGGTTGAAATCCGTAAGGTCTACGCCGTTATAAGATACAGAGACAGACTGAAAAAACTGTTAAACAGCATTAACAGAAAGGAATTTCTACCAAAAACTACGACGCAGGCTAAGGCTCTGCAGAACTACGTCCAGGATTCGAAGGTGATCTCAAAGGTGTTCCTAGGTGCTTGCGTTGCTACTTGCTCCTTCTGGGGAATCTATCCCTTCGTGGATGACGGCGATCTCCGCTTGCCTTTAGGTGGGTGGTTCCCCTTCGATACTCGCTACTCGCCTTGGTTTGAACTTGCTTATGTGTATCAAGTCATCGGTTCCACCGTAAACGGTCTTGTTAATGTTAGCTTGGACACCTTCATGTCCGGTAAGGTTTCTTGCAGTTTCAGAGGAGGTATCGATCCATCAGTTCACAAATTGTGTTTTCTTTCTAGGACTGATAATGGTCGTATGTGCCCAGTTGAACATTTTGAACGATTCCTTGAAAAACATGCGTGAACAAGCAGAAACTGAGCTAAAGGGTGTTGGAATAGAAGTGGGGCAGTACATGACAAACACTTTGCAAGAAAAAATGAACGAGAAGCTATTAAATTGCGTGAATCATCATCGATGCATTATAGAGTGCGTATAATAATGAACAGTATCTCTTAGTGTTCATGTTATAATCCCTTTGTGACCGTTTTATTAATTTTTTCGCAGGTTTGCCAATGAACTGACATTTCTATTTACAACCAGTATCTTAGGACAGTTTATCGTCAGTGTTGTTATAATATGCATTACTCTGTTTGAGATCACTTTGGTAAGTAATACAGTTTCCTAAAGAAACGTACAATTCACGTCACCGGTCCATAACAGACAAACGAAAAACGTCAGTAAAAATCTGTTTAGATGGCGTGAATCGGGACTCGCTAAGGCCCGTTTTGCAATTGAAAAACATTTTTATCAAAATTCAGAAAATAAAAAAATTACATCAACTTTTTTTTTCCAGAAACACCCATTTCTTATGATAACTAAAATTATCTATTTTTTATAAACATTTTTTGTGCAGACATTTTTTCTCTACCTCTTCTCCTTAAAAAGTTACAATAACAAACATTATACAAAAATGTATCCTATTGTATTGGAATTAGTCACGCTTGAATCAACATAGCTGTGAAAACAATGGCTGAAACTGCTGTCACAAGTCTGTTTACATATTAATTTTCTGTCAAACGCTCTTTCTTGCATGTTAAACAAACTAGTAAGTGGTTGCTAAAAATTGAATAATGTTCACAAACAAAGAAAAAGTTGACATGATTTTAATTTATGGTGAATGTCAAAAAAATGCCAGAAGAGCTGCTAACATCATGAGAGATATCCAGAGCGTCAAGCTGTTAACCCAAAAATATTTGCCAGATTAGAACGAATTTTGCGTGCTAACAAAAATGCATTTTCGTCAAGAAAAGGAAATGGAATTTCAAAATCAGTGTGGTAACGATATTACCGTAGCTAGGGTATTACAATATTTTGAGGAAAATCCTAGATATTCTATACGACAGGCCACTTTTGCATTAAATTTAGAAAGAAGCTCCGCGCAAAGAATTTTGTGCTCCAATGATTACCATGGGCTAAATAACTTGGAGCACTTAGTTGACATACATGCTGAAAAAAGACTTAATTATGTAGGTAGTCCAAATAATGGTTAATTTGGAAATAGATAATAGACTCTTACGACACACTTTTTGGACCGATGAGAGTCGTTTTATAAGTAATGGCAAGCAAAATAAAAAAAACGAACATTATTGGGCCACTGAAAATCCACACTGTTAATCCCATTCAAAATCAGGGCCATCATGGAATAAATGTTTGGTGTGGCATTATTGGAATGCATTTAATTGGTCCATGCTTTTATGAAAATGTATTGAACGCTAGTAGCTATTTACAGTTTTTGCAAGAGGAGCTGCCAGCACTGTTTGAACATGTGCCGCTGCAGCTCAGAATGAATATGTGGTTGTAACACGATGGTGCTCCTCCACATAAATCTAAAAAAGTTACAGACTATTTAAAATACTTTCGGAACTAATAGACTGGAATTAATGGGCCTGTAGAATGGGCTTCATAAAATTTTTTAAAGTAATAATCATAATTTTATATTTTGTTTTGTGTTTTGTTATTAGTTATTGTTATATTTATTAGTTACAATTAAAATTGTTTAATATTTTCTATATTTGGTTATCCTATTTAACCGTCATTATGTGTATTATTCTATTTTTCTTCGTGGAGTGACCTTTTTTAAGAGGAACATAGCAACTAACATGTAAACAAATTTGTGACAGGAGTTACAGCAATTGTTTTTCACAGTAACGCTGATTAAGTCATGACTACTTCCAATACAATAGAATACATTTTTGTATAATGTTTGTTATTGTAACTTTTTAAGGAGAAATCGATCGATAGAACCGTTTTCCTGATTCGTTAAAGTTTTATAAAAAAATTAAAGGAGCATGTTTATTGCTCTTTAAACATCAATTAATGAATAAGATGAAACCATTTTTTTGCGTTATTTTCCTCACAATTCCGCGTTAAATACTCATCAAATATCTAAAAAACAAAATTCAAAATTTTAAAATAAAATCAAATTTTGAAAAATTTTGTTAATTAAAAAAAATTTCTCCACATTTCAAATATTCAATGTAAAATTGTAAAAAAAAATAACGCAAACATTTTTTAAAAAATTTGGAAGAATTGATTATTTTTCAAAATTGATTTTTTTCAAAATTTTGAATTTTTTTGTACGATATTTGATGAGTGAGTGAATGCGAAATTGTGAGAAAAATAGCACAAAAAAATTGGTTTTATTTTAATCAGTAATTGAGTAAATAGTAAAATTGAGTAAATAATAATAAATACAAACCCCCCTGGAAAGTTGATAACCACTTACTTTATAACTTGTGAGGAGCTTCGTTTTGACGAGTCCACCACACCTTTCCTCTGCAACTTTTCTCGGTTTCTCCGCTTTTCCACTCGGAAAAGTCCCAAAACATGTCAATTTCCCAGGGTCTTGAAAAGTCAAGACGACATCTCTTTTTTTCGCTTATGTTACTGGAAATTTTGTTGCAAATGCCGATTTAAATTTGTCCGACAGAAATTCTTCCGACATTGACGTGTCTACCGGTCGAAACATGACAGGGTATTGAAAATCAATTACCACATAGGTAATTTTTAATAAACTTAATTGTAAATAATTAATTCAGTCAAAAAGTATTGTTGTCCGACAAATTTCAAGCCGCGTCTTTTCAGTCCGACAGCTGGAAATCGGAATTTTCACGGGGTATGAAAAATCGATTACCACATATCTAATTTTCATTTTTTCCACTTTTAAATTTACTGTACAAAATAGTGATATAAGTGTCCGACGATTTAATGTCCGCAAATTATTAAAAAATCAATAAATCAATAAACGTGATGAAATTTAATTTTTTCACTCCAAAAATTTCATATTTATAAATGGTTATTAATTATTATTATGTAAATTATTATTTGTTTCAAATAAATAATTATAATATTGCTTATTTTATGCTTAAAAATTTAAAAGTTGTAAACAAATGAAGTTATTTTTGAGACGATTAATCTTATCTTACAATTAGTGCATAATATTTCTAAATAAATTAATATAATATTATACTTGATATAAAAATCTGTTTTCTCTTTCAAGTCTTCAATCGCGTTTGTTATTTTTCTTTACAAAAATTTTCCTATTTTTCTAAAAGAAAATCCCAAAACTTGTGTGCATATTTTTTTTACACCATACATACTTTTTTGAAATCGTTTAATTCTTTTCTGGACTGGCTAAATTGAGCATAAGAGATTTACAATTACAAGAATAAAACGAAAAATATATACATATATTTATATGGAATTTTTCTTAATACACGAAAATACTTATTAGAAATTATAAATACATGTGCATCTTTTTTGTCAGACTGACGATTTGCGGATATAGGTATTTTTGTCGGTTTAAAAAAAAATTGTAAAATTTTTGCCTTGCATTACTTCTTTTGATTGCGCCGACAGTGTTCAAAAATTTTTTTTATCTCAAGATTTCAAAACCAGAAACTTCAAGCTTCAGGATGTTTCTTTTCTTTTCTCGATACGAGCATTTTCACGAAGTTACAGCCCTTCAAAAATCACTAAAAAAAATTGGAAATTTTTCTACTCCTTCAATTTTTTTTTGCCGAGTGTATTATTTATTTTTTTCTCTTTATTACAGTTACCCGCGTTGAGTATAAAGTTCTTCTCTCTGATTCTGTACCAATTCTGCATGCTACTGGAAATATTTCTGTTGTGTTACTATGGCAACGAAGTTATTAGAGAGGTGAGCGTACCGACTCGTTGACATATCGAATCCCTAACCAGTGATCGGGGATTTGAGATTCCACGTGTGCCGCTGCCGCACGAATGAACGTAATACAGTAGTTATTCATATTAATTGAATGAATTAATTGTTCACATTTATATACAGAGCATTAATAAATAATTACAAGTTCGTGACAGCCGAACATAGGCAACCAACATTGCACGATTAGTAATATCAATTAAAAATCCCTAAATCGTTTTTTCTCGAACGTTATTTACGGTTTTTCGAATCCTCAGAGCGCCGAGCTGACGAAGTTCGCCTTCTGCAGCGACTGGATGGATTGCTCTCCGGAATTTAAACGAAACTTGGTGTTCTTCATGACCAGGTCCCAGATGGCCCTCAAACTGTACGCGGGGGGCTTTTTCACGCTGTCGTTGGAAACTTTCGTGAAGGCAAGTTCACCAGTACACTCTTTACAGCGTGGGAGCGCGACTTTACCCTTGTTTTTCAGATTTTAAAGTCGTCCTGGTCCTATTTCGCCGTCCTGAACAGCGTACACACAGATGACTAGGGGAAACGGTTCTACAGCACGCGGGAGAGACGCAAATCACCAAGCACAGCTTCAAATATACACAGTGTTCAAAATAAGAAATGCAGTAGTACTATTTTTTGCCACTTTCTTTGAGTTTAAGATAAAAATAATGTAAACAAAGATGTGCAGAACTTGTGTTATAAAATCTTATATACAGTGTGTCTACTTCAGTTGGAACCATATAAAAAACTTTATTATTATAGATTTTATGAAAAAAAGTTATTCTTCATAAAAAGTTCTGCATCGTCTAAAATCTAAAATGCAACCTTCAGTTAACAAAATTTCCCAGTCGTATACGAGATATATCAGAAATTATGAATTTTGCTCAAGAGTAAAGTATTTATTTGAAAATAACTTTTAATTCACAATACTTTTCTTTTTAACACTCTTCTGTATTGCCAAAAATAAGGGTACTTTACTCTTGACCAAAATTCATAATTTCTGATATACCTCTTATACGACTGGGAAATTTTGGTAACTGGAGGTTGCATTTTAGATTTTAGACCATGCAGAACTTTTTATGAGGAATAACTTTTTTCATAAAACCAATAATAAAAAAGTTTTCCATATGGTTCCAACTTAAGTAGACACACTGTATATAAGTGTAAAATAGTTATAGTATTAAAGTAAATAAATGGCATAATAAGTTTATATTTATCATGTTTTATCGAAATGATGTTATATGTTTAGTTATTATTATTAATTCTATTTATTGACATATATTTTCGAATACGCTGTGTGTTGTATTACTACATTGACTTTGTATCCTGTAACTGGGCATTTGTCTGTTGGATATGTAGTCAAATAAATAAATAAATAAATAAATAAATAAATAAATAAATAAATAAAATATTGTTTCGCTACAAATTAAGTGATCATAATATTGGAAGGATTTGGTTGTCACAGTTGTATTATAACGAGCATTCAAATAAAAACGTGGTCGAAGTTGGCTCTGACACATTGGACGTAGGGAGTAGCTTATAACGACCAACTTAACCTCATTTCTCAACGAGCTGTATAGCAGCTGTCAGTTTCAATAACGTTAATGACTATATAACTTTATTTTAAAGAATAATCGTGATAACAATAACAAACAATTAAAGGAGCTGCGGAAAGTGTCCCCCTCCTTGTTATAACAATAAATTAAAGCAGCTGCTGAAAGTGTCCCCCTCCTTGTTCCAAGCACTTTTCACACCTGTTCCTCAAAGAATTAAAGACATTTTCTAAGATGCTCGGGGTATTGTTAATTTCACGAATCTTGTCTATAAGTCGAGCCTGCAGATGGTTTAAATCAGGAATAGGCAGTTCAAAAATAGTGTTTTTAAGGTAAGGCCACAAAAAGAAATCACACGGCGTAATATCACATGACCTCGGTGGAAATTCATGTTCAGCATTGAGACTTATTAGTCGATTTTGGAAAACTTCCCTCAACATATTCATCGTCTCGCCTGCCGTATGTGCCCTTGCGCCATCTTGTTGAAAGTAAAAGTTTGTAATTTCGTTTTCTTCCAGCTGGTTAACAAAAGGAGCGATAATTTCTTCTCTATACCTTTGCGCAGTAAGAGTACCATTAAAAAAAATAGGTCCATAAATCCTCCTTCGATTGAGAGCACACCAAACTCCAATTTTTTGAGCGTGTAGAGGGCCCTCGACAAAAAAGTTATCTGGTTTTTCAGAAGACCACATTCTCATATTCTGTGAGTTTACGTAACCACTTAAATGAAACCAGGCTTCATCAGAAAAAAAGGTGATATTATGAAGTTCACCGTAGTTGTTTAAAAACCATTCACAAAATACAGCCCGTCGCGGAAAATCAACTTCATGAAGTTCTTGCTGACAAGTTAAACGATAGGAGAACAAACGCAAATCTTTTTTTAACACTGTGTGGCAGGTACCGACTGATACTCCCACCATTTGTGATAAAACACGTACAGAAGTTCTTGGCGCATTTTCCATTATTTGTTGGACATTTTCTTTTAATTCTTCAGTCCGCTTTTTAGGTCGGCCGCTTCCTTCTTTTCTTGTTACACTGCCCGTTTCACGAAAAACATTAACACAACGCTGAACTGCACTTTGAAAAATTTTGTACTCAACAACGCCGGGAAATTGATTTTGAAATTCTATGAAACATTCCTCAATAGAATACTTCCATATTCCATCAATCTTGCGTCCATTTCTAAAGTAGGACTCTATGATAAACACTTTTTGTTCTTGAGAAAACACCATTTTAAACGCTTTTTAAAACGAAAATATTCAAATTGATAGCGGCGATATAGCGCTTTGACAGATGACGTTTAAGTTCATTTGCTATACGCTACGCCCTACGTCCAAATTTTCAGAACCAACTTGACCACGTTTTTATTTGAACGCTCGTTATGTGATGCCAAACGAACATTTTTTGTATATTATAACATTTGGCAACAAAATACATCAAAATTTAAAAAAAATTGTAGAAAATAACAACACAGGCATGACACTGTCGTATTAAAATGCACATTAAACATTCCCATAAAAAGATATCTAGTGAAATTAAGTCGGGAGTTCCTGGAGGCCATCTCACAGGACCAAATCGACCAATCCATCTACCACCAAAATGATTATTTAACCACCTTGTAACGAATCTGTCATTGTGAGGAGGTGCACCATCGTATTGGAATAACATCTGTTCAATCATTTCAAACCGTTAAAATCTTTTATTTAAATATTGTAAGGAGAGGTAGTAAGGGAAGAAATAAAATAATAAAATAAATAAAATACAAAAAACTAAAAAGATCTATAACGAAAAAGCAAGAAAAAAAAAAAAAGGTCAAGGTCAATAATTAAGGGTGGTTTTAAGGGTTGAAACTTTATAAAAATAACGTAAGTTATAACCCACAATATAAAACAATATTTATTCTACATATTAAGATATGATTTTAGTCTATAAAACACCTATTTTTATATTTATTCAGTTTTTCAAATTAATTAATTCCAAATTTTCATAAAAAACGAATCTATCCGAAAGTATTCGGAGGTTTCACCCTATTTTTCTATTCGTTTCCTGGACTATTAGCAGTAGAACAGCGACGAATTCCTATAATGGATATAATTTAATATAAACGGTTTTATTAGCCCATATTGTTTTTAAGACATTATTTTACACCTAATTTGTTTCACCCTGTATATATTTTATTGTTAATTCTATTGTCATGTATACGTATTTTTGTATTGCTAGATATTAAATAAATAAATAGATAAATATAGTTTAATATTGAAAAGATTAAAATCCGGCACATGCACCAGTGCAGTTTCCACCTCGCATCATTTTCTCCAGGTCGTTCCACCGGAATCGCAACGGACCTCACGTACCACTGCTTAATTTTTAGAGATGCGCCCCCGGAGGCATTCTCGCGTCATCGGGTGCATTTCCAACTGAGATATCGCCCCTTCGGCCAAAGCAAACATTGATATATCGACTGTTGAATGCTGGAATAAGGTACGGCGGCGGCGATGCTTCCTGCTTCCGCCTTGGTGGGCCCCGGGAATATTTAAAGTTACTGCCAGACCGGGAGATGAAGGTAGACGCTTAATGGAGCGGAAAATGTCTGCAGTGCACTTCCATCAGCTTTTGCGACGGCTAAATGCTTCAGGAATATTTTTATTCCATGCTCGGTCTGCTGACGTGATTCTTGGTAGGAAATTTTATGTTTTGTCCGGACACAAATACGCGCAATTTGAGAATTACCGAGAGATAATAAAAAACATATTTTTGAAACACTGCATAGTTTTTTCTCTATTTTATCCTTGTCCCCAGGAACCTACTTTTATTACCCTATCCTAATTAACACTTATCCGGGTCATTACCTACTCGGTTTGTGCTTATGTACCCTAATAGACAACAACTAATTTATGTCTACAGCCTACTTATTCTAATCTCATTTGTTAATTACATTTATTTGGGATAATGTCGGATAATTCAAAATATAATTTATATGGCTCGTAAATTCCCAGAAAGCAAAATATATATTTATTGGGGCAGGTACTAAATGTAATTGTAGCGTACCGCTACATTAAATAACAAACGTCGCCGTTTCACTAAAGAAAACAAAACTTAGAAAAGCACGTAGTAATATGTTTTAACTCCTTCCAATGTGCCAGGGAAACCTTGTCTGAACCCTAAGGTTTATCAGGTAAGTGGTGTCATTTAAATTTATGCATAGGTATTTTATCCTCTACTTAGCCTTGCTCTTTGGTAATAGTACTATTTAGCGACATATTTTCTGTAAACATATTAATGTTTTCATTCGTAATCTGACTACGGTCCTGTCAAACTTCGCGCCGCACTAAGCTAGTAATAACCTACTAAACTTAAGTTGTATAAAATGAAATGAAGTAATTTAGTTTTGAAGAAAAAAGATTAATAATGCCGCAAAATTATGTCCTTTAACTTATTGGGCATAAAAGACAAAACTATTATCTGTAAAATAAAATTTCTTATGTTTGTCATATGATATCCGCCATTTTATATTTCAAAATCTTTAAATTCTTTATCTGCGACTCGGAAAATTCCTGTTTACAACATTTCTCTACTTCTGATGACCATATTAAATCCTCCACATTGAATTTTGTAATTTTGACCCCAAATTCGTAATCAGCGACTCCAAAAACCCCCAAGTAACATGTTTTTTATTTTTGGCCAGCTTTTTGTAATTCTGCCTCACTGTAACCGTTGGAAATTTTCGAAAGCAGTTCCGTAAATGTATTAAAGTCAAAGAGGCAATTTTAAACATTTTTTTGTAAATGTTTCTATATCAATTTATTGTTATTATTCAGGTTTAGTTGTGTGGGTTCATTCGTTTATGCAGCCTTGTTACACAGTTGAAATATTTCAAAAAATTGACAGAACTATTTCCGCATCCTGTATAGTATTTTTTTCTAATAAAGTATTTCAGGATCTGTTAAATTTAATGATGAAAGAGCATGCACTGGTTCCATGGCAA